ACTATGGAAAACAATATGGAATTTCCTCAGAAAACTAAAAATGGAACTACCTTTTGACCCAGCAATTCTACTGCTAGGATTATATCCTAAGAACTCTGAAAACCAATCTACCCCAATGCACTCCAATGTTTATAGCAGCACAATTTACAATAGCCCAGTGCTGGAAGCAACCTAAGTGCCCATCAGCAAATGAATGGATCAAAAACTATGTTACATTTACACAATGCAATTCTATGCAGCAGAAAGAAAGAAGGCTCTTCTACCTTTGTGACAGCATGGATAGAACTGGAGAGCATTATGCTAAGTGAAATAAGCTAGGCAGTGAAACACAAACACCATATGATCTCACCATTAGCAGCAACCTAATCAACAAAAGAAACAAGCAAGCAAAGCATACCCAAAGACATTTAAATTGAGAACAGACTGACAGTGTCCAGAGGGGAGAGGAGAGGGGATAATGGGGGAAAAGGATGAAGGGTGTACAGGAACAATTACAAAGGACACATGGACAATAACAAGGTGGGGTAGAAACAGGGGAGTACTGGGGTGGTGAGGAGGGGTAGCGGGTAAAAGGCAGAAAACTGTACTTGAACAACAATTAAAACAAAATAAAATTTAAAAAAGAAATTTGGGTCAAATAAAATTAATGATTTAAAGAATCAAAATTAAAATAAAAATGCCTCTACAAAGAAGTGTTTTCATCCATTGCTGATAAAATGTGAATCATTACCGTCTATTTGGAAAATGGTCTTTCCAAAAAATGCTATTTTAAATTTTAAGTCAATAAATTAGTTCATTTTTTAATTTAAATGAATTGCAAAGAATAAAATGTGTACCCATTTGTCTTCTTTTCTTCAACATATTTGTGTGAGTTATTTGTGTTGTTGCAGGTAATTGAAATTTTCTCATTCTAACTCCCATATGATATTCCATTGTATGAATATACCAGAAAATATCAAGTGTACTGTTGATGATAATTTAGGTGGAGGTATTACAAATAGTTGAACACATATATTTTTTAAATTCTTTGTTTTAATTTTTATTTTATTGATTATGCCATTACAGTTGTTCTATTCCCTCCCTTCATTCCCCTCCACCCTGCACCCCCCACCCCTACCATTCCTCCCCTTTAGCTTATGACCATGTGTCTCAAGTTCTTTGGGTTCTATATTTCCCATACTATTCTTGCCCTCCCCCTATCTATTTTCTACCTATCGTCTATGCTACTTATTTTCTGTACCTTCTTCCCCCTTCTCCTCCCACTCCCCTGTTGCTAACCCTCCATGAGATCTTCATCTCTATGGTTCTGCTCCTGATCTAGCTGTCCTTTTAGTTTGCTTTTGTTTTAGATATGGTTGTTAATAACTGTGAGTTTGTGTCCTTTCACTGTTCATCTTTTTAATCTTCTTTTTCTTAGGTAAGTCCCTTTAACACTTCATATAATAAGGGCTTGGTGATGATGAACTCCTTGAACTTTACCTTATCTGAGAAGCCCTTTATCTGTCCTTCCATTCTAAATGAAAGTTTTGCAGGATAGAGCAATCTTGGTTATAGGTCTTTGGAATTCATGACTTGGAATACCTCTTTCCAGCCCCTTCTTGCCTGCAAGGTCTCTTTTGAAAAATCAGCTGACAGTCTAATGGGAACTCCTTTGTAGGTGACTGTCCCCTTATCTCTTGCTGCTTCTAGGATTCTCTCCTTCATTTTAATCTTGGCTAATGTAATGATGATGTGCCTTGGTGTGTTTCTTCTTGGGTCCAACTTCTTTGGGACTCTCTGAGCTTCCTGGACTTCCTGGAAGTCTATTTCCTTTGCCAGATTGGGGAAATTCTCTTTTATTATTTGTTCAAATAAGTTTTCCACTGGTGGCTATTCCTTTCCCCCTTCTGGTACCCCTATAATTCGGATGTTGGATCATTTAAAGATGTCCTGGAGGTTCCTAAGCCTCTCCTCATTTTTTTTGATTTCTTGTTTCTTCATCTTTTTCTGTTTGGTCATTTTCTTCCTCTTTCTGGTCCACTCCTTTGATTTGAGTCCCAGTTTTCCTTTCATCACTATTGGTTTCCTGTGAATTTCCCTTCATTTCAATTAGTTTAGCCTTCATATGTTCCTCTAATTTGTGACTAAAATCAACCAGATCTATGAGCATCCTGATCATCAGTGTTTTGAACTATGCATCTGAAAATTTTGCTATTTCTTCGTCACTTAGAGTTATGGGCTCTGGGGCTTTGAGATCTTCTTGAGCCATTTTTGGTCTGTTCAAGCCCATTAAGTATGAGGAGAGGAGCCTTGGGGGTGGGGCGGGGCAGGGCCTCCAGGGTGGGGTCACTGGGTTGTGATGCTGTATATGGGGGTGGGGTCAGAGTGGGGAAATGTCGTCCCCCTCTCCTGCTTTTCGCTGCTGGGTGAGGAGAGGAGCCTTAGACGTTCACCAGGGTAGGGTTGCTCAGGTTGCTGGGTTGTGACGCTATATGTGGGGGCAGGGTCAGAGCCAGGAAATGGCGGCCCTCTCTGCTGCCTCCCGTCACTGGGACCTGCTTGGTCCTGTCTCACTGCCCACTCCCTCACCTGTCTATCAGCGTAGGAATGCGCCACCACAGTCAACCCGCTGCCCTTCGCCCTCCCTGGATCCACCAGTCGCTCACTGGATCGCTCACTGGGTTCACCCTTTGCAGCCCCACGCCTGGGATCCGCGTGCCTGAGTCCATCTGACCAAGTTTTCCTGTGCAACCCCACTCCACCAGCTGCTGGTTTCGCCCCTCTTACCGGTCAGGCTGAAGCATTCGTTGTTATCAGACTTCTGAAAAGTTCAATTTTCTGTGTTCTGACTATGTTTTCTGTTGGTAATATTTTGTTGTCTCTAAACTTGGTTGTGTGAGAAAGCACGGCCTCTCCACCTATGCCTCCATCTTGGCGGAAGTCTCTGAACACATATATTTTATAATAAAATATAGGGTGTTGGATTTTAGTGACAGGAATTCAAAACAGCTTTGTCATTAAAGAAACAGTAAAAGCTGGACAAAATAGTTAAAAATAAATCTGCTCAAAGGCATCTGAAAACAAGGATAGGAAATAATTACCCAGCCAAGGCATGAGAGAAAAAAAAAAGAGATAAACAGTAAATTTGTAAGATGTTTTTTTCCCCCCTGAGGGCAAGTTTATCTGTTCTGGAGGGAACTGTGGAAAGGCTTAGAAGCTCAGAAGAGCTTATGACTTCACATTGAAGCTAAGGCTATAGAAATTGGAGTCCAGAGCCCTGATTAACTCCCTTTATTTTTGGTTGTAATTCCATGGGTGATATCCCAGGAATAAGGGTTAACTAGAGCTAAATAAATCCTCACTGAATTAAAGTGTATTTGCAGATTGCTTTCCACAAATAAATTGTATGAACTTTCATTTGTAGCAGCACTAAATTCAAAATTCTTTCCTCATGCTAAATGACAGTATTGTTTTAATGTTTTTTAGTCCATTTTTATTGATTTTATTTTTCCTTTTATGAAATATTCTATTGTTTTAAGCTTAGTTCTGTTAACATCTTACTCATCACCTGATTCAGATACCATAAGTAACTATTAAATATTCATATTGTTTATTGAGATTTTGGTTTGCTCATTGCCTTTTCTTACTTTATTTAGCTGAATTTTACATTTTAGTAAATCAAATATTGATTTACAGATTTAATTTAGTATCAAATTTTCTTCAAATATTTAAAGAGTCATTCTAGCATTGTTTAAAGCATGCCTGTCTTCTTCCACTGAATTGTAAACTGTCACTTCACCTGTTTCTTATAAAGTTGTTTTCTTCCGAAGCCCTCTTTTTTGATAAGTAGATCACAATACATGTTATTATGGATAAATTTTCCAAATGTCCAGTAATGAGGGAAAAGTGAAATTGTGGTGGCTGGGAAATTGAGTGTTATAGACAAATGATCAGATAGGCAATAGGTGCTCAAGAAATATTTGTTGATTGAGTAAGACAAATACTGTTTTTTAAAATATTCAATGTCCTGCCCTGGCTGGTGTAGCTCAGTGGATTGAGCGGGGGCCTGCAAACCACATGATCGCGGTTTGATTCCCAGTCAGGGCACATGCCTGGGTTGTGGGCCAGTTCCCAGCTGGGGACTCATGAGAGGCAACCACACATTGATATTTCTCTTCCTCTCTCCTTCCCTTCCCCTCTAAAGATAAATAAATAAAATCTGTAAAAAATAAATAAAATAAAATATTCAATGTCCAGAGGAAATGCTTATTCTAATATTGAAAATAAGAAAGCATGAATTTGCATACGCAAAATGATCCCAGTTTTGTAAAATTCTGGAAAAATCGCAAAAGAAATAATGAATATTAACATTTTGTAGTGAGCTCTGGGGAATGAGTGCTGAAATTTCAATTGGTTATTTCCTTCAAATTAGTTTTCTGAAATTTACACAGTGCTCACACTGTGCACACATTTCATTTGAAATAAAGTTTTAAAAAGTAAATAAAGGTAGAGGTAATCCTGAAAAAGTAAAATCCAAGAATGACCACTTAGGAAACATTACCTAGATATTGGGTCAAGATAAGATGAAAGAATGAGTATTAGCACATTTCTTTCTTCCCATTCCAAATCCATACGAATGACAAGGAAGAGGAATTTGTGAGTAAAGAATAACTACATAAGGTCACTTAAAAAAAAAAGACAAATTCCTGGAAGATCAAAGGCGGATGGGGCATGGGGACTAAGAGGTTGGAGGTAGATGCCAGCACTGCAGCCAAAGAACCCTGAGAGGGGAGAGAAGACAGGGTAAGAGTGGAGGAGCCAACAGCTCCTGATTTTGGAACCAAGGAGGGGACAGAAAGCACGGAAAATCTCTCACTCCAAAGGCAGAGGTGGGTTTCAGAGTTGCGGGGCGGGGGCACCCAGTGTTCAGCAGGAAGAGGAGGCCTCTCTCCTGGCAGGAAGCTGCGCTACGGAAGGAGGGAGGAGACTGCTGCAGCAGTAGCGGCTGGTGGGATCCCGATGTGGCAGAGGGGTGTCTGCCGCCGACAAGGAGGCAGAGGGCCCGCGAGCCCAGTGCTGGAGACACCGCCACCATCCTCTTGGCGAGCCCTGCCGCCTCCTAGGCACGCTCCTCGTCTACGGATTCTCTCCAAGCAGCTTCAGCAAGCTCCCGGCTCAGCGCCTGCTGATCCCCTTTCCTCACAGGCTCACAGCGCACGCAGGAGAGAAGTGTCTGATTTGGGCACGTGAGGCCCGCGATCCCGAGCAGCGGACGCCAGGCAAGCCAAGGCCATTGGTGGGTACCAGGATGGAGAAGGGAGATGGGGTGGACTCTTGCAGGAGATAGGGGAGGACGCCGAGTCCGAGTGAGGCTGGGCTGGAAAGTGCGATGGGCTATAGGAAAAGGGGTGGCTTTAAGGAGACAGGCAAGAAATTGAAGCGAGGGCGCTGGGTGCCAAGAAAGCAAGTGGGGGTTGTCAGGGGGTGTATGGGCAGCAGGCTGGGGCGTTCAGGGCTGGAGGACAGTGACTGTCTGCGGGTCAAAGCTGGGGAGGGATGGGCTCTTTGCAAGCGATTTAGAGAGTGGGCACCAGTGGCGGGCAGTGGAGGCAGCGGGGTCTGAACAAGGAGGTAGCCTATCCCCGCACCCCCGCCCCCGCGGAGTTCCTAACCCCAGCCAGCACCACTGCTGCTGCTGCCCTTCCCTGCAGCCTAAAAGAACCTGGGGGGCGGGGTAGGGGGAGAGCACTTGCGGGCACACCACCGGCATCTCCAGCATCAGTTCCAGGCGCATAGGGAAGATTTAGTTGCCAGCACAGGGTGCGCAGAGACATCGCTGTGGGGAAAACTTCGCCTTATGGCATAAAGAATGTCCTCTTACCTTCTCTCCTCCTATCTTCTCTCCTCCCGCTGTAGGCATGAAGACCCCCAACGCACCGGAAGCCCAAGGGCAACAAACCAGGGCACCAGCGGGTCGGACCACTGGGTCTGCAAACATGACGAAGAAGAAAACCTTCCAAAAGAAGCAGAGGGGCAGACCTTCATCCCAGCCCCGCAGGAACCTCGTGGGCTGCAGAATTTCACATGGATGGAAGGAAGGCGATGAGCCCATCACCCAGTGGAAAGGAACTGTTCTGGATCAGGTGCCTATAAATCCCTCTCTTTATCTGGTGAAGTATGACGGAATTGACTGTGTCTATGGACTGGAGCTTCACAGAGATGAAAGAGTTTTGTCTCTTAAAATTCTTTCTGACAGGGTGGCATCGTCTCAAGTCGGTGATGCAAACCTTGCAAATACCATAATTGGTAAAGCTGTGGAACATATGTTTGAGGGCGAGCATGGTTCAAAGGATGAATGGAGAGGCATGGTCCTAGCCCGGGCACCAATCATGAAAGCCTGGTTTTATATCACCTATGAGAAAGATCCTGTCTTGTACATGTACCAGCTTCTAGATGATTACAAAGAGGGAGACCTCCGTATCATGCCAGAGTCCAGTGAGTCTCCTCCAGCAGAGAGGGAACCAGGAGGAGTTGTAGATGGCCTGATAGGTAAACACGTGGAATATACCAAAGAAGATGGCTCCAAACGGATCGGCATGGTCATTCATCAAGTGGAAGCCAAACCCTCTGTGTATTTCATCAAGTTCGATGATGACTTCCATATCTATGTCTATGATTTGGTGAAAAAGTCCTAACTGTTAGGGTACAATTGGCCACATTTGTGAAGACAAATGTATACTTTGTAGACATGCAAAATGATGTTGCTTTTCAGTGTATTGGGAGCTTAAGGGTCCCCATTAATTCAGCATCTTTGCCAGCATAACTGTTGTTTTGTTCTGAAAAATACAAATGTATGTGGACATGACATGCTGTGTGGAAGGACTCTATCATGTTGAACAGAGTGGGTGTGTTTGGTGGATGGGGTATGAGAGGAAGGGACAGCTGTAAATTCAGGCTGTGAACAAAGTTCAGCTAGTATCATAATCAGTCATCTAAAAATGGAATAGGGCTTAGCTGGCCTGGTCTTGGGAGGAGGGAGGAGAAGGAACTAGAGATGGGCTGTGGGGAGGGGGAAAGAGGAGGTGACTGCTCAGGAAGAGGTGGGGAGGGGCCAGAAATGGAGGTCTCCTTGGGTGAGGAATGTCTTAGGAGGGGGAGGCATCCAACTGGAAGGAGGTAAAGAACAAAGGAGGGAGAGGGAGACCTTGAGGTTTAGAGGAAAACAATACATTGAGTGGAGTGGGACTCACAGAGAAGCTCAGAAGTCCAGAGCAAGGGGGAGAAAGACCATGTTTTCAGGGATCTGGGGAGAGGCTAAAGGATACTCAGAGAGAGGGTCTATGCATGTGTGGGGGCCAGTGCTGCAGGGACACTGAGGAGGGGGGAATTCTAAGAAGAAAGACTGACCCCAGTGAGTGAGAATGCAGGTGTGGGCGGGGGGGGGGGTCGGTGAGAGATGGGAATGTGCAGGGAAAAGTTGGACTTCTGACAGTATGCACAATGCTGTCCCTGCCTCTGTGCACAAAAGATGTGGCAACTGTCAAAGAAACCAGATGGACTGACAGGGATGACTCAAATGCTAAGCAGCAGCCAAGTTTATACCTAAAAACTTTTATTCCAGGGAACTCATGCCACAATGCAAAGCAGAACCCCCAACCCTCAGCCTAAACACATGTTCTGACTGTGTGCACTTAAGCATGTGGCTGTGGGTCACCTCACAGTTCCCAGAGGACCCGGGTGCAGTAAATGTTGGACCTGAAGGTCTTGGTTCCTTTACCCTGTGCTGTGTAAACAATTCCTGTGAACCTTGTTGAACTCAGGTATAGCAGTCCCTTCACTGTTCTTCCTCCCGCTGGACTGTACCCTTGCCTTCCCTTGGAGGAAGGGCATCAGAGGATGGAGGCTGCTGCTTCTCTCCAGGGAATGGGCCATGCAAGTCCATGCTGCTTTTAGTACTTGCCTGAAACTACAGGTGGCTCCACCCAGTGCTTCACCTAACTGAGGTCTGCTGCCCCCAGAAGCACCATTTGGTGGCTATATTCAACAAATCGGGTGGCTACTAACTCTTCACAGGGACCTCGTGGCCAGTTTTGCCCCTCCCCCAAGCACATGGGGAGCTCCGATGGGAGAGTGTTCAGCTCTGGTTGCAGGTGAAATAGATGGCGTGGGGCAGTCAGGCTGGGATTTGTGGCTTGGTGTAAGGACTTCCTTCAACTCTGTATTGCCACACAGTGGTGTGGTGCTTGGTGGCAAGAGGGTACATTAACCCTCATACAGTCCCTCTGAGATATGGTGTCCTGGTACATGGGTCTATGTTCCTCTCTTCCTGTCCTCCTGGCCTTTCCTTAGTCATGCCACTTAAGTTTCTCTCAAAACCTTCTCTGTCGTTCACCCACCCCACACTTCACCAAAATATACCCTTGCCCTCAATAGAAGAGTACACTTGAAGAGTTCTCGTGACTACCCTTTGCCCAAGTTCCCCACACTTCATGAGTGGCAGGGGAAGGTGCAAGCAAGCTGCTCCATGAGTTGACAGGAGCAGTAATACCTGTTCGTTCTACACCCAACATGACCCAAAGCTGTTTGCTCCAAGAACAACACAAGACAAGCCCATCTCGCCATAGCAGGGATTAATTTGCTTCCAAACTTCACACAATTGAGTCTGACAAACACCTGAAGTAGGCCACCCATGAGCCAACTTCAGTCAGCTGCCATGTTTTGTTTGGTCTTGGTGTTTTGTTTTATACTAACATAGTTTTCTATGTTTATATACTACTTATATATTTGGGAGATTTCTTCTTTCTGGCTCACCTATTAAAAAAACTATAAACTGAGGATTAGGGCCCACATTCCAACAAGGATACAAGCAGCTGGGTCTGAGGAAGGGCTCAGCCCATTTATACACTCAGAATGCTCTCTCACGTTGGCCAAGCCCCCAGCTGGCCTGTTTCACTCAAGTGAAATTTCCACTTGTCCCCTGGAGGCAATTGTGTGTCTAGCTTTGGGGCAAGACACAGAGAAAACTGTCTAGCTCCCCTTTTGGCTCACTTTGACCCCAATTTTTTATTTGTTTGATTTATCTGCCTCCCACCAATCAATAGTCACTGCATGTAGGCTCTCTGCCAGGCAGTCTTCTAGGTACAGGTACTTATGATATGGTAATGAAGAAAAGAGACAAATAAAATAATCCTACCCTCATGGAACTTTTATTTTACTGTGCCAGATAGTAGCCATAATACAGGAAATAAATATAAAGTATTTTCAGAGTGATCAGTGTTAAGAAGGAAAAAAAAAGGAAAGCAAGGAATGAGGGATGTAAATGCCAGGCCGGAGTCTGAAATTGGACAGATAAAAACAAGGCTTTTGAATAAATACCTAAACGCAATGAGAGAACTGGCCCTGTGCCTGTCTGGGGAAGGTGCATTCCAGGTAGAGCAATAGCAAGTGCTGAGCCCCCAAGACACTTGTGGCCTGGCATGTTCAAGGACGACTGAGGATACCAGCATGGCTGAAGCTGAGTACAAGGTAGAGAAGATCAGGACGTGAGTTTAGGGAGAAGCCTGGGAGGTATTAGAGTTTTGCTTTTACACTGATTGTGTTTGGGAGCCACTTGATTTTTTTCAGTGAGGTGTGAGGTGATTTGTATCACATTTTAACACTATCACTCTGGAAATTGTATTTTGTGGACAGTACTAGGATCAAAAAAGGAGGTGAATTATCAGTGAAGCAGAGAAGAGGTGTAGAAATTGATTTGCATGTTGGAAACTGAATCATAATGGAGATGAAATTTCACAAAAATGGAAATGTGTTTTTATTCAATAAAGGGTGCTGCATTATGCTGTTTTCCATAGGCAGAATAATAAACATAATTCCTCCTCACACCTTATACACAAAATAAATTCTAAGTGGATAACAATTAATGCTGAAATTTAGAAAGTGTCATTTAAAAATTTTTTAGATTGAAATGGAAGAGAATGTTTACAGTTTTTATTATGGGAGTAGGGAAAACATTTTTAAAGAAACAAATAGCACAGATATTGATGGAAATTTTGACAAATTTGCTTCCATTAATACACAAATTCTTCTCATTTTTCTTTATTTTTAGAGTATATTTTATTGACTATGCCATTACAGTTGTCCCGATTTTTTCTCCTCTTTATCACCCTCCACCCTATATTCACCCTCCCACCAGTATTCCCCCCCACACACTTTTTTTCATGCCCATGGGTGGTACATATAAGTTCTTTGGCTTCTCCATTTCCTATACTATTCTTAACCTCCCCTTGTTAATTTTATGCCTGCCAATTATGCTTCTTATTCCCTGTATCTTTTTTCCCATTCCCCACCTCCCCTTCCCTGCTGATAACCCTCCATGTGATCTCCATTTCTGTGATTCTGTTCCCTTTTTAGTTGTTTGCTTAGTTTTTATTTTTCAGTTCAGTGTTGATAGTAGTGAGTTTGTTATTTTAATGTTCATATTTTTGATCTTCTTCATTTTTTTAGATAAGTCCCTTTAACATTTCATATAATAAGGGCTTGGTGATGATGAGATCCTTTAACTTGACCTTATCTGCAAGGCACTTTATCTCCCCTTCCATTCTAAATGGTAGCTTTGCTGGATAGAGCAATCTTGGATGTAGGTCCTTGCCTTTCATGACTCTGAATACTTCTTTCCAGCCCCTTCCTACCTGTAAGGTCTCTTTTGAGAAATCAGCTGATAGTCTAATGGGAACTCTTTTCTAGGTAACTCTCTCCTTTCGTCTTACTGCTTTTAAGATTCTCTCTTTGTCTTTAATCTTGGGTAATTTAATGATGCTGTTCTTTGGTGTGTTTCTGTGTGGATTCAATTTCTTCAGGACTCTCTGAGCTTCCTGAACTTCCTCGAAGTCTATGTCCTTTGCCAGATTGGGAAAGTGTTCCTTCATTATTTGCAAATATGTTTTCAATTTCTTGCTCTTCCTCTTCTCCTCAGGCACCCATATGATTCTGATGTTGGACTGTTTAAAGTTGTCCCAGAGGTTCCTCAGCTTCTCCTAATTTTTTTGAATTGTTGTTTCTTCATTCTGTTCCAGTTGGGTGTTATTTCTTCCTTTTGTTCCAAATCATTGGTTTGAGTCCCAGTTCCTTCCCTTCACTGTTGGTTCCTTGTATATATTTTTAAATTTCACTCTGTATAGCCTTTGCTTCTTGCTTCATTTTGTGACCAAACTCAGTCATTTCTGTGAGCATCCTAATTACCAGTGTTTCGAACTCTGCATCTTATGGGTTGTCTCTCTCCTGGTTGCTTAGTTCTTTCTCTGAAGTTTTTATCTGTTCTTTTATTTGTGCCATATTTCTTTTTCTTGACACAACTGTTGTCATAGGAGGTGGAGCCGTAGTTATTTCCCTGGGTGGGAGAACCCTCTTTGCTGCATGTGGCACTGTCTGTGGGGGAGGGGTCAGAGAGGGAACAATGCTGATTGCCCAGCTTTTGACCCACTTTCCCTCACTTCCCACAAGCAGATTATGCCCTTTCAGGTGCTGTTTCCTTGGGTGAGTGGGTTTGTGTATATTCTAGTACCCCATGAGCTTCTCCTATGGACTCTCCTGTGAGATGGAGTTTCTCCTGCCCTCATGATCCCCCACAGGATTTTATAGCCAGAGGTTTTGAGTCTTTAGTTTCCCTGCTCTGAAAACCTGGGTTTCACAGTCTGTGTCACTCCCCAGTTATCCCTCTTGGATTATCCATGCACAAATGTGGGACTACCCAGTCCACCATCCCCGCCTCTCCTGTGTGATCTGCTGCCTTGCTGCATGTCCTGTCCACCCAGCTGCCAGTCTGCCCTTCCTACCAGTCTGGGTGAATGTCTCTTTAACTCCTTAGTT